AATTAAGATGCCAGAAATAAACCCTCACTTTTATGGTCAAGTGATTTCCAGCAAGGATGGCAACACCATTCACTGGGGAAAAGACAGTCTTTTCAACGGGGTGCCGGGAACACTGGATGTCCTCAGGCAAAAGAACGAAGTTGGACCCTTACCTCACACTGTAGAAAAACTTAACTCAAAATGGATCAGAGACCTAAACTTAGGACCCAACACTATAAAACTCCTAAGAAAAGACAGGGCAAAAGCTTCATGACATTAGACATGGCAACGATTTCTTGGATATGACACCAAAGGCACAGTCAACAAAAGAAACAAGTAGAAAAACTGGACTTCTATGCATTAAGAGGGTAGTACCAACAGAGTAGAAAGGTAGCCCACAGAATTAGAAAAAAACATTCTCGAGTCACGTCTCTAACAAGAGATCGATATCCAGCACGTATAAAGAACTCCTACAAGTCAACAAATAAGCGAAAGGCCACTAAAAAAAAAGAACGGGTGAGGAAATTGAACAGATGATATTCAAACGGCCAAAAGCACATGAAAAGATGTTCAACATCACTGCTTGTCAGGGAAATCAAAACTATAAAGAGGTATTACTTCACACCCATTAGGATGACTATTATTAAATAAACAAACAACAGAAAATAACAAATGTTGGCAAACGTGTGGAGAAATTGAATAAATGCTTGTGCCTTGCTGGTGGGAATGTAAAAACGGTTCAGCTGCTATGGAAAATGGTATTGTGTTTCTTCAAAAAATTAAACAGAATTACCACGTAATCCAGAAATTCTGTTTCTGGCTATGGACTCTAAAGAAGCGAAACAGGGACTCAAAGAGATATTGGTACATCCACGTTCACAGCAATATTATTCACAACAGCCAAAATGCGGAAGCAACCCAAGTGGCCATCGACTGACGAATGGATAAGTAAGATGTGGTATATACATCCACGGGAATATCATGCAGTCTTGAAAAGGAAGGAAATTTTAACATATCCTATAATACACATGAACCCTGAAGACCTTATGACACAAGAGGACAGATACTGGATGATTCTGTTATGTGAGATTCCTAGAGTAATCAAATTCACAAGAACAGAAAGGAGAATGGTGGTTACCAGGGGCTGGAGAGGGGGGAATGGGCACTTAGTGTTTAACAGATACAGAGTTTCAGTTAATGCCTTGAACTGTACAATTAAAAGTGGTTAAAAGGGTACATTTCATATTATGTGGGGCTTTTTTTTTTTTTTACCACAATTAAATTTCTGAAGAGGTTAAAACGGTAAATTTCCGATGTTTACTTCACCACAATAAAAACCAAAAATGAGAAAGCTGTATACATGTAGTTACAACCTCCTTACACTCCTTCACCCTTTGGCTTAACTCCGGGCGATCTCAATATTAGTAATGATCTCTGTATTAACAAATATTGGTAACATTTCTATGAGTTAGCTCATTAAAAACAAAACAAACAGAACACACCAAGATAATCACTATTACAAGGATTTAATCTTGGTAGCCGAAGGAAATACTTCCTGTTTAGAGGTATAAGTCTAGCTGGTAATGAAACAGCCCAAAACTGCTGGCATTCTGGCCTACGGGGAAGAACTTTAAGCTGAAAAACACGTTTCTTCCGTGTCATGACTGACTCTGAAGTCGGCGACTGAGACAGCCCGTGGTTGAGCTTTTGCCTTCCACCCCTCAGGTTGCCAGGCATCCCCAACTTACATCCTAGGAGCAGACTCTACCCGGGCTAGAATTCAGAGTGGGAAGTCTCCACTAGCACGGAGGAAGTCGGGATTAACTTCCAAGCCTTCTCAGAACTCACCAAAGAAGAAGAGAAGACCACAAAGGGTCCCCTGTCTTTGGATGACAGTCGCGATGATCTTCTCCTCCACGTCACCACAGACCAGTCACCTGACATATCATTTATTCTGCCTAGTTGCGTCTCTGGTAGATGTACTAAGCTACAGTGTATGTATGTGGACACGTGCGTGCGCGTGCGCGTATGTGTAAAATGTGCACATCTTCTCAGCTACATTAAGAAGCAGAGCTCTTGAGGACAAAAATAAAAAGACAGCTTTGTCTTTCCTTCGCACCAGATTCAGTATCATATACATAGTAGCTCTCAATACTGACTGTGTATAATTAAGGAATAAAAAAAAAATGAGCACTTGCCACTTTGTGTTCTGTAAGTAGAACTCAGAAAACGTTATAAACAAATATAGTCATATAATTAATACCGAATATAAGTTTATCAGAAAAGAATAATACCCATTTGTTCTTTTTCTTTTGATTTATTTTTTTTCAGTTTACTTATTTTTGAGAGAGACAGAACATGAGCAGGGGAGGGGCACAGAGAGAGGGAGACGCAGAATCCGAAGCAGGCTCCAGGCTCTGAGCTGTCAGCACAGAGCCCAATGCGGGGCTTGAACTCACAAACTGTGAGATCGTGACCTGAGCAGAAGTGGGATGCTTCACCAACTGAACTACCCAGGCACCCCCATTCTGTGTTTTGAAATTAAAAAAAAAGAAAGAAATGTCCATTTTCTTTTTTAACAGCTTAATTTATTAACTCCACATTCACAACACTGAACTGTATACCTACCACCACTGTTCAAGTGAGTACTCTTATTTACTAGATGGAAAAGTAGACACCATCCCTGGTCTTAAGAAACCAACAGTGCACGGGAGAGACGGACATGACGCAAACACGCCTATCAGGAAGCGCCAGGCATATAAACGGGGTAATCACCATGAGGGAGGGCCATGGAGGCTTCAAGAGACCCAGCAGAGATGGAAGGATCAGAAAAGCCTGGGAGACCAGTGACATCTCAGCTGAGACATAAGGAATAAAAGTGTGCTAGCCAGGCCCAAAGAAAGGACTTTGGTCCTAAGCAAAAGAGGACAGAAAAAGAAAAAAAAAAAAAAAAAAAAAAAGATTAATTAACAGAGTGAGGACTTCTGCTTCTGGAAGGGTGGAACAGAAGTACTTTTCACTCCTCCTCCTGCTAAGAACCACCAAAGACCACGGACATGACATACAAAATAAACACAAGGAAACTCTGAAAGGTAGAAAGAAGGCCGACTCAGCACAGACCCCAGTACCCTAAGGACCCCAGGTATTCCTCTCTACCTCATACGTCCTAGACTAAGTGCTGAGGAAGGGCAAGCACAAATGCCAACGGGCACAGACAAAAAAAAAAAAAAAAAAAAAAGTCCCAAGACAAGCCTGTTCTCTAGCCAAAGGGCCAGCACAGGGGCGGCCCAGCAAGACAGAACTTTTAGACGCTCTAGCCGAACACCACAGAAATACTGCGGCCCACCCCACGCAGGCCGGCAAATTCCTGGGTGCCATCTGCAGAATGCTCCCGTAGACCAGGATATCTCCCAAATTCAGTGAGAAGAACCAGGCCCCAAATATCTGTTGTGAAGACATCAGCAAATACAAAAGAAGAAAGAAGTAGCATTGGGGATACACAGAACTCTGGACCGGCCAGAAATCTGGAGAAAGCGAAGGCAAAATCAAGAAGCGGGCAGTGAACACGTCCCGCATCGCTCAGAAGCTGGCAACGGAACCCCCAGATGTGGCTCACGGCAGAGCTCTGCTCGATTTGGGGGAGGGGACGGCTTTCAGGTCCTTCCATGTCTCTCAAGACTTTCATACTCCTCTTGTTCTGGTTCCCAATTTGCCAAGAAATCTTCTAATAAACCAATTCCACTTTAACTTTAACACCAACTGTTACAGTCATTGGAAAAGTATCTCCTTATGGTAAAAGTTAACTGCCTGGCACTCTGGTCAGTCCTTTGTGAGTCTCATTAGTTTTAAGGGTCGGTCAGTGCCAAAAGCCTAATTAACTCTGCATGTACTGGCAAAGACAAGATCCCAGACCCGCAAACTTAAAGGCCACATCTTAAATGGAAGGTACGCTATGAGCCTGGGCAGCTGGCCATCTAAGACGCCTCTGTCTTGATCTCTCACTTACACAGGTGAGAAACCAGCCTTGCAAATAGCTCTCCAAAATCCTATTCAACTCTCAAAATTCAAAGCAGACCTACTTTTCTCTGCTGGAGCCGTCCCCTTTCCCTCCTACTCACTGCTGTCTAAAATCATTCTCCAAAACGCATATTCTGCATAGAACATCCACCACGAACACAGATTCCTATTAAATACACAGAAAGATAAGCACAGCAAAGCAGAATCTGTTTCTTCAGCCACTCCTGGAAAGGCACAAGTTCACACTCTGACTGCTAGTTGGCCCTCAGTCCTGAGGCCTTAGGTATACAAACCACCGCCTTATAGTCCTGCTAAATTCTGCGGGATTAAATGTTCACAACTGCTCTATTTTTAAAGTATCTAAAAATGAAAGGTCACAATAAGCACTAGCAATAAAAAAATTCCTGTGAATGCGTCCATTTGCAATTGGTCAGTGCTGAATTTTCAAGATGTTACAGTAATCCATATTCGGAACCACCATAAACAAAATGAAAACCTAAAAAGTACAGCCAGCCAGCCTCCTTGAACTTCGTATGCACGGTTATGCGCCTTCCTGATACATATCACATCTGGGTGTTTTAGAGTTTCACAATGAATTCCACACCTGTTGCTAACGAGATTTAAATCATTATCAAAAAGCGTTTCTTAGGATCCATTTGCGGAAGAACGTAGAAATGACAGAAGAGGCTAAAAAAAAGTCAAATCTACAGAATTCTATTTCATACGGAAGTTCTCTACCCAGCACCGGACAGGTCAGCGCAACGGGAAGAGTCACTTTCCCAAGCCCACCACGGCGACGGCGACGGTCTCTCAGAGCTGGGCAGCAACCAGAAATGCGTGTCTGTCCGTCACCTGAACTACCTCACCTTCTTACCAGGAAATCTGTGTCGTTAAACTGCCAGTCACGGGCAGTCAGGGATACCACTGCTGTCTGTAGGTCATCTCTGCTTAAACAGAGGCGTCTGCGTGGAGACTATTTAAAATACGTTGAAAGTTTCACTTACCTCCACGGCTACCACAATCAAAACGAGGTCCAATTTTGACTCTGGAAAGAGGGCATTCACTTGTGGTGACATTCCAATTAGAGCACAGTTAGTGACCACAGATATAACACTCATTGTTTCAAAAGCCAACTAAAAGGGAAAAAAAATGTGAAATTAAAAACCACAATGACCTCTTCCATACTTCCTCAGCCTTTTTTTGTATCATATAAAATCAAAGAAAAAGGCTTTCCCTCGTTCCAAATATCCCAAGTACATTTAAAACTTTTTCTCTATAATGCTGTGATTTTCTTCGGCTTAAAAAAGTCAGGCCGTTACAAGGCATTTTCAATATTTATGGCTGGAATATCCAAAGCACTATGTTCTACCTTCCTAGCTGGAGGTGGCCAGGGACCTGAGAATTTGGAATACATCCGAGAGGAGTATGCTGTTCAAGTTACCCTACTCGTACCTAAAGGGAATCTAAGGTGGGGCCACCAGAAAAAAAATGTTTCACATTCAAAAACTGTTAGTATGATTTCAAATGGAATTTTTTTGTGACTGTCTTACTCTGCCACATTACAGACCACAGCTGGTTCAGCTACACCAGAGGCACCAGGTATCGTGATCCTTTTCGAGTGGCATTCGCCCAGGAGACTTTGGAAAAACACACGTGCCCCACCGAGCTACTGAACAGACTGACCCAAGGCCCCATGGAGGAGTCTGCCAGAGCCCACTACAGAGTACTGACTGCGGAAACGTGACCACTGCTCGGTCGCTCTTCCTTTTCATGCACAACACTTGATCCCTGCGGAGTAACCCAACCACTGGGAAGGGACGTAGAGGTTTCCATTACATAACGAGCAAGTCGCGGGGAGGAATGCTGCAGCCCACAGGGAATACGGTCAAGGTGTTGTGACGGCAACGCCTGGTCACCCACTCGGGTACTCGGGTACTCTGCTTGTGGCGAGCACAAGCAGAGCATATAGACTTGTCCAATCACTGTGTTGCACACCCCAAACACGTGTAACGTTGTGTAACAACTGTATTTTCGTTTAAAACAAGAATCAAAGTCCCACTAATTCTAAAAAATACAATTACTGTTAGAAACTAAAATTTTAAAAGAAGCAAAACAAAGCATGATTGGATCCCAACTGAATAAATATCTGGTCTCATGGAGAATTTCCGCTATCTTATTTTAGCAATCTTTGTATAACTTGATTATTTTTTCCGGAGTTTTCTTTACAACAAACCTACTCAAGACTTTATCTTCTCTTTAAATAACTTAAATTTTTTTATTTATTCATTTTTTAGCTTTACATAGCTCAGAATTGAAAACTTGAAGTTACAGTGAAGAATCTCCTTGCCCTCATGTACCCCTTACCTGCCCGCAAGCTCCTGTGCTCCCTACAAAAGGATCACCATTATTAATTTTTTTTTTTTTTTACCTTTCCAGATACTTTATATGCAAACTTTATAAGGAAATTTGAATATATATGCCCTTTCTTCCCCTCTTTCAGCCCAATGCATACTGTCCGGTCCCTTGCTTTTGTCACTTAAAATGTCTTGGAGACTATTCTATGTCAGTACTCAAAGAACTCTCTCATTCTTTGTCACAGCTGTTTAAATATTTTATTGCAGAGATGTATCGGAATTTATTTAACCATTTCCTTATTGGTGGGCATTAGTTGCTATGACAATCATTGTTCCATTTAGTTACCATGTAAATACATCATTTAACTAGAGTGGAATTAGGATAAATTCCTGAAAGTGGAACTGAGTCAAAGGTACCCTGCATTCATAATCTTGATAAATAACGTCAAGCTGCACTCCATGAGACTGACCAGTTCATCCTCCTATCAGCAGTATCTAAGAGTGCCTGGCTTCCTGAAATTTTAATACCTCTATAATGAAACATGATTTTGTCAAATACAGCTATATTGAGCTATAATTTATGTGCAATAAGCTGTATTCATTGAAGGTATACACTTCATTAAGTTTTGATTGATGTACATACTTGTGAAAACACCACCACAAACAAGATGCAGAATAATTCTACTTCCCCCAAAAGATTCCTCATGACCCACTGCAATCCATCCTTCTCTTCACACCGGCCCAAAAGCAAACACTGATCTGCTTTTTGTCACTGCAGTTTTGTCACTGCTTCAGGATGTCATAACTGGAAGGATATAGTATATACTCTTCCTCATCCTTTCACCCAGTATGATTTTGAGATTGAGCCATATTATTTCTATACCTATATCTAGTCTTTTCCATTTTTATTGTGGAGTAGTATTCCATTTTATGAATATACCATCATTTTTTATTTATTTACCTACTGATGGAACACTGGGTTGTTTCCAGTTTTGGACTACTCTGAAGGAAGTTACTGCAGACACATGCGTGCATCCTGAAATGTTCACGTTCTCTCATTTCTCCTGGATATTTAGGAGCCGATGTGCTGAGGGTATGGTAGGTGTACGTTCAACTTTTTAACAAACTTCCATCTCATTCTGCAAAGTGACTGCACCATGACGCAGCCTCGCCAGAAAAGTATGACAGTTGCAGTTACTACACATCATGTCCAACATTTCACACCACGGATCTTCATTTTAAACTGGGTATGTAGTGCTATCTTCTGGTTTTCATTTGCATTTTCCCGGTAACTAATTATAAATCTTTTCATGAGCTCACTGGCCATTCACATATGTTTTTTGGTGAAGTACTTCTTCAAATCATGGTCCTTGTTTCCAAAGGCTGAAATGTCTTACTGAATTGTAAGAGTTTCTTAATCTGAACACAAGTACTCTGGCAGACATACGTATTGTGTATTTTTTTCTCCCATTCTGTGTCTTGCCTGCTCTTCTTTTAACGTTAGAAGAGCAAACTTTCCCCCCTATCTGGAGACCTTGTTATCTCAATGCTATTAGTGGACAATTATTTCCCCCACTGAACTGAGACTTCACATAGACCACACAATCCATTTCTGGACTTACTCCTCTGACTGTCTCCTGATGCACCAGGACCACACCACGTTAATAACGGAAGTTATGTAACAAGTTTTAATACATGGTAAGTGTCCCTATTCTTCTTTATAGCTTTCTTGTTCTTCTTTTTTTTTTTTTTAAATTTTTTTTCAATGTTTATTTATTTTTGGGACAGAGAGAGACAGAGCATGAACGGGGGAGGGGCAGAGAGAGAGGGAGACACAGAATCGGAAACAGGGTCCAGGCTCCGAGCCATCAGCCCAGAGCCTGACGCGGGGCTCGAACTCACGGACCGCGAGATCGTGACCTGGCTGAAGTCGGACGCTTAACCGACTGCGCCACCCAGGCGCCCCAACTTTCTTGTTCTTCTATTTCACTCATTTCTCCCTGTGAATGTGACAATACATTTACCGGCTTAAAAGAAAACCTTGGGCTGGCGTAGTGCTCCATTTGTAAATTAATTTGTAGGTCAATTTGTAAATGAAAGGAGAATTGATATGTATTGAATACTGAGACTTCCCTTATCAGTTAGCTATTACTACATAACCAACCACCCCAAACTCTGGCTTCAAACAGCCATTTATTTAGCTCATGATTCTGTGGGTGGACAATTTAGGATAGGCTCCTCTCGGCAATTCTTCTGGTCTCAGCTGACTTTGACTGGATTTGCTCACGCACCTGAGGTCAGCTAGTGGGTAAACCAGAGATATCATTGGCCTTATCAGGCTACTTAGAACTTCTAGTACCATGTCCGATAAAGGTAGCAAGAGTGAACACCCTTGCCTTGTTCCTAATTTTAGAAGGAAAGCATTCAATCTTTCACCAATAAGTATGATGTTAGCTTTAGATTGTTTTTTAAAAATAGATGTCCTTTATCAAGTTGAAGAAACACCCCCATTTCTATTTTTGTGAGAGTTCTCAAAAAGGAATGTTGGATTCTCTCAAATGCTTGATATTATTGGTTGATACAACTATGCAGTTTTTCAAACCATTAAATGGCAGATTATACAGATTAATTTTCTACTATTAAACCAGGCTGGCATCCCTGGACTAAATCCCACTTGTCATGGTATACACTTCTTTTTATTAGATTGCTGAATTCAGTCTGCTAATAGTTTATTAAGGTGTTTTGTCCATTTACTCACAAGGGATGTTGGTTTGTTGTTCTCCTGTCTCGCACTCTGGTTTTCTACTACACTGATACTAGTCTTCATAAAATGAATTAGGAAACATTCCCTCCTCCTCTGTTTTCTGGAAGAAACTGTGTAAAATTGGGGTTCATTCTTAGAAATTGCTAGTGAAATCGTTTGGGCCAATGTATTTCTTTTTTGGAAATTTATAATTACAAATTTAATTTCCTTATAATTGCAGAGCTACTCAAATTATCTATTTCATATTGGGTGAGTTGTGGTAGTTTGTATTTTTGGAGGCAATGATCCAAATTGTCAAATTTATATGTGCAGAGTTGCTCATAATCCCTTCAATACTTTTGGTACTTTAAGGGTCTGTAGTGGTACCTGCTGTTTTATTTTTATATTGGTTATCTTGTCAACTATATTGATCTTTAGAACCAACTCTTTTCAGTAATCTTCTCTATTATTTTTGTTTTTCATTTCATCCATCTGTCCTCTTATCTTTATTATTTTCTTTCTGTTTCTTCTGGGTTTCTTTTGTGCTTTGTTTCTAGTTTCCCGAGTAGGCATTTAGATTATTGTTTGAGATACTTTCCTCTTCTCTAGTGTATGCATTCAGTGTTACAAATTTCCCTGTTGGCACTGCTTTAGCTGTTTGATACGCTGTACTTTCATTTTCATTCAGTTCAATGTCTTCTGAATTTACTCGAAACTTTCTCTTTGACCCATCATTATTTAAGGAACGTGCACTTGGGGGCGCTTGGGTGGCTCCGTTGGTTAAACAACTGACTCTTGATTTCAGCTCAAGTTATGATCTCACCATGGTGAGATCAAGCCCCATGTCAGCCTAGGCATGGAGCATGCTTAAGATTCTCTCTCTCTTCCTCTCCTACTGCCCCTCCCTCACTCATGCCCTTCTCTTTCTCTTTCTTTCTCAAGAAAACCATGCATTTAGTTTTCGAGTGTTTGGAGACTTTCCTGTTATCTTTCTCCTGCTGATTTCTGGTTGGATTCCACTAGAGTCAGAGAACATACTGTACATGATTTCAATTCTTTAAAATGTTTAAAGTTTGTGTTCTGCCCGAGGATGAATGCTCTGTAAGCACTTGAATGTGTATTCTACAAGTGCTGAGCAGAGTGCTCTGTAATATGGATTTGATTCTGTTACCTGATGGTGGTGGTATTGGTGAGCCCTTCTATATCCTTGCTGACTTCCTAGCTCTTGTTCGACCAACTGTTGAGAAATGCGTGTTGAAGTCTCCAGCTATACTTGTGGGTTTGTCGACTTCTCCTTCCAGTTCTATAAATTTCTGGTTCACGTATTTTAAACCACTGTTGTTCATTGTGCACACACTAAGCCTGCTATGTCTTCTTGGCAATTGATTATGCATATTACTGTGTGTGTGTGCGTGTGTGTGTGTGTGTGTGTGAGAGAGAGAGAGAGAGAGAGAGAGAGAGAGAGAGAGAGATCTTTCTTGACTTAGGAGTTGTGTTCCAAAAGGGTAAGTTACAAATATTGTAGGACAAAAATGGACCTACTACACCTAATCTACTGAATTAGAGCTGAACCTATAGCTCACCTTAAATGTGCTAAGAACCCTCGGATTAGCTTACAGCTAGCTGGGCAAAATCATCTCACACAAAGTTTATTTTATACTAAAGTATTGAGTATTTCCTGTAATTTGTTGAACACTGTACTGAAAGGGAAAAACAGAATGGTTGTGTGGGTATGGAATTGTTCTAAGTGTATCAGCTGTCTACCCTCGTGACTGTGTGGCTAACTGGGAGCCGTGGTTTGCTGCCCAACATCGAGACAGGATCATACTGCATGCCACTGGCTGGGGAAAAGATCCAAATTCAAAATTTGAGGTATGGTTTCTACTGAACACATATCGCTTTCACGCCACTGTAAAGCCAAAAAACCATAATCTGCACCGTTGTAAGTTGGGGACCATCTACATATGTTCAGTCTACTTGTGTCACCATTTATCAGTCTGAAGGATGTACAGAAACCTCACCTCCCTTTACCATTCTGTAAAATATCTTAATATTTTCCCTGCATGTATTTAGAATCATCAGATAGTGTTACAATTTTTGTTCCAATTGTCAAACATAACTTTAAAGACTTAAGAGGAGGAAAGTCTGGGGCGCCTGGGTGGCTCAGTCGGTTAAGCCTCCGACTTCGGCTCAGGTCATGATCTCACGGTCCGTGGGTTCGAGCCCCGCATCGGGCTCTGTGCTGACAGCTCAGAGCCTGGAGCCTGTTTCAGAAATATGTGTCTCCCTCTCTCTCTGCTCCTCCCCTGGAGCCTGTTTCAGATTCTGTGTCTCCCTCTCTCTCTCTGCCCCTCCCCTGTTCATGTTCTGTCTCTGTCTCAAGGATAAATAAACATTTAAAAAAAAGAGAGAGAGAAGGAAAGTCTAATTATGTTTATTCGTATTTTTGCTTTCCATGGTTTTTCTTCCTGACAGTCCCAGGTCCCTTCTTTTATCATTTCCTCAAGTTTACAAAAATTTTTTTAACTATTCTTTTAAGGGGTATCTATATGGCTCAGTCACTGAAGCACCTGATTCTTGATTTCGGCTCAGGTCGTGATCTCATGGTTCATGAGATTAAGCTCTGCATGGGGCTCTGCGCTGACAGTGTGGAGCCTGCTTGGGATTCTCTCTCTCCCTCTCTCTCTGCCCCTCCCCTGCTCACTCTCTCTCAAAATAAATAAACATTTAAAAATCAATCAATCAATAAAGTGGCTATTCTTTTAGCATAGATTTTCTGGCAACAAATTCTCTTTGTTTTCTTTCATCTGAGAGTGTCTTGATTTCCCCTTTGTTCTTTTTTTTTTTTTTTTTTTTTTTAGTTTATTTATTTAGTCATTTTTGGGACAGAGAGAGAGAGAGAGAGGGAGAGAGAGAGAGAGCAGGGGGCGGGGTAGAGAAAAAGGGAGACAGAGAATCCAAAGCAGGCTCCACGCTGTCAGAGCAGAGCCTGACGCGAACCGTGAGGTCACGACCTGAACTGAAATCAAGAGTCCGATGCTTAACCAACTGAGCCACCCAGGCGCCCCCTGCCCTTCACTCTTGAAGGGTATTCTCTCTGAATACAGGATTCTGTACTGACACCACTTTTCTTTCAGCACCTGAAAAATACCATGCTGCTTTCTTCCAGCCTCCGTTACTTCCGATGAGAAACTGGCTATCATTCTAATCGTGTTCCTCTATAGACAACATGTCATTTCTCTCTTGGTGCTTTCAAGCTTTTGTCTTTAGTTTTCATATGTTTAATTATCATGTGTTGGACACGAACTTTGGGGGGCTTATCCTGTTTGGGATTCGCTCAATTTCTTGAGTCTGCAGTTTTGGGTCTCTTGCCAAATCAAAAAGTCTTGGACTTATTACTTCAGGCGTTTTTTAGCCCCTCCTTCCCCCGCTCCTTTCTGGGACTCTGATAACAGGAACGTTAGATCTTCTGCTACAGTCGCACAGGTCTCTGAGGTTATATTTACTTTGTCAGTCTATTTTTTCTCTGCTGTTCAGATTGAATCATTTCTATTCTCTATCTCCCAGTTTCTGATCTTTCCTCTATTTCTTCCATTCTGCTACAGCGCTCATCCACTAAGCTTTTTATTTTAGTTATATTTTCCACTTCTAAAATATCTATTTGCCTCTCTTTTATGCCTCCTCTTTCTTTGCTGAGATATTCTATTTTTCTGTCTGTTTGAGGTACATTCATTTGATCAAGGCTGCTTTAAAATCTGTCCGATATTTCTAATATCTGTCGCCTTGATGGTGGCATCTACTGACCGCCCCTTTTTTCTTGTTGGTTCATCCTGGTTCCTGGTATGATGACTGTTTAAATAGAAACCTGGACATTTTAGGTGTTAGATTCTACAATTTATTTAAAGCTTTTGTTTCAGTTGGTTCCTCTAACACCACTCTAGCAGGCAAAGCAGGGGCAACACCTGGTTAGGTTACCCATTTGGATACCACTGACACCCAGCGTGGAGGGTGGGGTCCTTCCTATTGCGGGACTGGGGCCAGAACTCTGGTCTCCCACCAGACCTTCCCACGGATACCTCTTCTGCTAGGACGAATACAAGTGCCTCGTGTGTGTTCCCACGTTCCCACGTGGTCTCTGCTGTGCTGGGTGGTGGCAGAAGGCCTGACGCTCCATTAGGCTTTATCTGAAACCACCCCAGCAGAAACTGGAAAAGGAACCTCATTATTGCTGGGTAGGGGTGAAGTCAGACTCCCGACGTGATCTGCGACCCACACAGAAGTGGGGAGGGCCTCATCGTCACTCAGTGAGCGAAGTCCCACCTGGCTACTTTCCTAGAAAACTCTCAGAACTTTTACATCTGAAAGGGGTCACAGAAATTATAATTTACCTCCCCCACCCCATCCCCAATTTTCAAAACAAGGAAAGCAAAGCCCAGAAAAAGTAAATGACTCTTTGAAGAGACACAACACAGTCTGTGGCAATAAATAACATGAAATAAAATAAAAATAAAAAATAAACTAAATTTCTCAAATTTCTCCTTAGCACCTTTGTTTTTAATCATAATGGCCCATTTTGCTAATTTTTTCCCCCAAAGGAATCATGTTTTCTCAAATAATTACCTGCCAGACACCAATATTGGCTGAAGGTTCTGAGAATGGACGTTTCAAGACCCTGCACATTTTTAAGGCATCCGAATTAACTTCAGTGAAGTTATTTAACACAGCAAAGGCAGCTGCTAATGGGTAGACGCAGGAGAAAAGGCTCACATAACCGAACTGAAGAAATAACTCCAAGTAATCATCAAAGGTACCCTGAAAATGTAAACCACAAGAAAAAAACAGGAATTGTTTTAATATTGTAGAACAACAGCAACACTTTGCAATACCATCCAAGGCAGCAGCCTCCGACCGAAAAACAATCTTAGACTTCTTCCCAATCTCTTCTTGTCAACAACAGAATTTACATAAATTCAAAAGCAATTTTGTATTTAAGTCCCCGAAAGAATGAAAAAAATGATTTAGCTCCTCATTCCATTGTGCCAAATCGCTGAATCGTCACATAACAAACAACAGCAAAGCTGAAGATGTTTGCTTCTAACCAAGTAAAAAGAAACGATCCGACGTCACTATTAGAAATCTTACATGACTGCCCCCTCACATCATGGGCTCCCCAGAACCTCAGTCCCTGAGCCTCCATCAGAAAACGGATGGTGGTGATGCCAACGAGCGTGGCGATGACCTGCAGAAGTTTGCCCCTCCCTAAAATCGACCCCAGCAACAGAAGGGCAAAACGTGTCAGGACCAATTTTTCAAGAGCTGGGGAAGTCAAGCGAAGGCTTGCAGCGATTCTGCTGGCACAGCTCAATCGTCTGGCATTTTAACCTCTTCTCATCTCATCTGCTGCTCCCCAGTTCTGCAGCAACCTTGAAAAAGCCCAGCATGCACCACCAGGACGGGAAGGGAGCAGCAGACTGGGGCTGCAGATCTGGGAAAGAAAGCCTCATTCCCAGAGGGAAGTCATTATCTGGCCTGGTTAGCGGTGACCTACAAGATTCCGCTCAAAAGGCTTGTCTTGATTCAACTTCACGGAGTCTCTTCCAGTGCTGAGGGCTTCTCCCTGAGTTTGTGAGCTGAATTTTTAAACACGGGTCTGCCTGAGGCCATGGGTAGCAGCGGGGGCAAACAAGAGACTAGCCAGGGAGCTCAAAAGGACAAGCTGAGGAATGAAATAGCCACGGGGGGGTTGCTGAACGCCAACATTTTCCTGGGAATCTAGAAGACGCGGCGGCGCATGCAAAGGATCATGGAAACACCACAGAAGGCTCGAGGATCTCACCTCTGACTGACCTCGGGGCTCTGCACAGGCAGAAAGTGAACGGCAAGGCAGAATTTTAAACTTCCTGGTTTAGTGTTGAAGGCAGGCCCAAACACGAAAACAGCGACCGAACAGACATCTGATGAGGGACAGAAGCAGGGAAACGCTCACTTCTAGTCCAGCAGCCTGACCCACAGCCTCAGAGCTAATGATTCATTAAGGGCCAAATTAAGTGCTGCTTGCTACGTTCTCAGAGGGTCTCGTGACTACCTGTGCGGATCGCCAATTACTATCGAACTGAACGATGAGCACTCGAGAAATGTTGCAGAAGTAGTTTTATTAATAGAAACTTGAAGAAACATCTATGATCTGATACTCCCTGCACGTCCTCTTCCCCTTCAGCACTAAGCACACGACCACCGGCTTCATACAGCACAAGTGCAGCTCTTTCTGCCCGAGTTCTGTCCCCGTGCTATAATAAAAGCACCTTTTTGCACCGAAAATGTCTCAAGAATCTTTAACGACCGGGCAAAGAAGCCTTCACTGAAGTAGGCTGCCTGGGCCTCGGTGACCCCCACTGGCCACCTGAATGACCGTCACCAAAACTCTACAGGACCAGGCGACGAGCACTCCAACCCCTCACTCCTCAGCGGAGGCCTGCTGTTCACAACACGTGCTTATTCTGACCCGAGAGGAGCAGTTCTCTGTGCCGTGCAGCGACTGAGCGACAGAGCCAGCCCTCCGGATGCCGAAGGCCGCGTCGCCGGCTTTCGGCATCCTCGGGCCTCCTCGTGATCATCCACTGCACGGGCAAGAACCACGCCAGCTTAATAAAAATGTATGTCACAATATTTTAAAGCAACAGTCTCTCAAATGAATTATTGTAATTAATGTTACTGTATCTCAGAGTCCGTCTCTCACCGAGACGCGCACAGTAGGCTCACTAGTTGAGCTGCAGTGGAAGTCAGACTCCACTTCTGGCAGAAAACGCCCAAACCTAGGTACAGAATACTGGGAACGGCAGAGCGTGCTTTCAGACGGCCTGGGTGTAAGGACAAAGCACGAACCCAGGGACTCTGAGTTACGCTCTGGCTGTTTTCAAGGTTCACACGTGCCTCCAGAGCTGGCGGGTTGGGGCTCAGTGGGGGATTCAGCGGTGAGTAGTTTCTCAACGACTCTCTGGAAGCATCTGGCTCTGGAAAGTACTTCCATATGCTGTGTTGCAGCACATAGAAGTGGTTCTAAAATACACCCAGTGGTATAGCATCAATCCACTTCTCTGAAAAGCGTAGAAATCAAGAGCAGAGTAAAAAAAAAACCTTAGCTGTTACACCATTTTTACCACAATTGGGTCTTGAGAAATCCTGATAGCCTATGCTTGGCTTTCAAAACTGCTGTTTCAGACCAGAATGTACAAGATAGAGCCTCTGCAGAGCTGTGTAGACAAATCCTCCCGTGTGCCAATGGGCAGCCTCCAGAAGGCATGCTCAGGCCTGGCATTTTTAGCATACAACACGAGGGGGCCCCTTCTCCGCACAGGAGCGCACTGTGCATTCTGCCTCCATCTCACGCAGGGACCGAGTATAGCACACACACGCTAACACTTTATCAGGACTTTTACACTGAGCGCTTTGGAGTCAGTAAATTTAGCAAACTAGGGACGCACTCCAAAAGCAAGGAGAAAAAAATGCAAATTCAACAATGTAAATAATTGCATACTAAAATAAAAATACTTAACCAAGATACAGTCTACCCGATTAGCTACAAGTTAGCAAAGACCAACTAAGACAAACTTACAAAATGTAAGAACAAAGCAGTCCTGAAGAACACTGTGGTATTTCTGTGAAGTCATAACTAATTTTATGTATCTATTTACTAGATGAATGGAAACAAAGTTTGAGGTTTCAGGGGCTCTATCCCACTGGATCCTCAAACCAGCCGGGCAGAAACAAGTCTATGAGTTCCCTACGCTGAGTATACAACAAGGAAAGAAGGTACTATATTTAAGGCCACAAGCAGCACACGGACACTAGGGGCTGACCATTTTTCTCCTAAAACTGTTCCTTGTTCAATATTATACTGAATGCTCGCTAAGAATTACCATGATAAATGACATGGGGACAGTGACCTCAGCAACAGAGAAAGAAAAATTATTAGACAGTGGCACTTAACCCTAAACAAAATACTGACATATTCAACGTGACAATGTGTATTCAAAAACGGTGAGCAAGAAGAGTTCATCACTTCAGCAGATGTTCCATTAGGAAATTTACGAGTGGGGTGGGAGGGAGGGGAAGGTGAGTGATGGGCATTGAGGAGGGCATCTGATGGGATGAGCACTAGGTGTTGTATGGAAACCAATTTGACAATAAATTCTCATATTTAAAAAAAAAAGGAAATTTATTAGTGTAAAGGAGAATATTAAATCTTAATACGATAATCTCAACAGAAGCAAATAAACGAAGAACTTGATAAAATGTAACATCTTTCACAATACAAACTCTGCGCAAGTAAGGAAAAGAACATTTTTAAACTGATAAAAAGCTACCTACCAAGAACATGGGATAAATGTTGACACTCAATGGTGAGAAGACCAAAAAAGAAAAAAAAAAGTCAGGAGCTAGAGAAAGATTCCTATTGTAAATACTTCTGTCCAAATTATACTGAACATATTCATGAGTCCAATAGATAATAAAAACTGTACAGATGAAGGAAGAAAGAAAACAGCCTTTTTTTTTTTTATAGCTGAAATATCTGTCTACACAGAAAACCCAAGAAAACCCAAGAAAATGGATTAGAAAAAAATGGGAGGGTTCATCAAGGTTGCTGGGTAAAAAGATACAAAAATCAACAGCATTGGCATCTAACGGCAACAATTTAGAACTTTTTCAAAGAGCTACCAATGACAGGAAACCGGAAGTCTCAAAATATCTACCAGCAGCTCACTTACTCCTTCCAAAGTGCAATTCCGTCCCTGCAACAAGCCCAGCCCCGGGTCAAGCAAAGGATCCGACAAGGCGCGGGGCAGCCTGACGTCACAGCTCCGGGTGGGGTGCGCCGGAAGGTGCTCTCCCAGAGTCGCTAAACTGGAATCTCGTGAGGAAACCATGGGACACACCGGCTTCCCAACGAGCCAACGCCCCGAAGAACGAAAAAAGCAAGGGGCTATTCCAGACCTGCAGTTTCCAAGCCTTCTGGTCTCTGCAGCCCTAAACTCTCAAAAATGACTGAGGACAGCAAAGACTTTTTGTTTACAGGAGTCTACCTCATGATATTTACCTATTTGAGATTAAAACTCAAAACCGTAAAAAACATTTCTCATTGATCTGTTTACACAAAAACATTAACATCAATGAGATACTGCTTGAAAAACAATTACATTTTCCAAGACAAAAACATTCAGTGTAGAGAGTGGCACTCGTTTACGGTTTTAGCAAATCTCTTAATGTCTAGCTCACTAGAAGGCAGCTCGTTTACGGTGTGGCGACTCATCACGAAAAGTCATAGTCACGCAGCTGTGCAGTTGGGCAGGATCCGGGAGTTCACAGGGCAGGGGCAGCACAATGCAGACCCGAGGCACCCATGGCCTTAGCCCTGGCGGGTGCAGCAGGCCCGAAAGACACCGGCGGATTACCCCCAGGGGGGCCCTTACGGAGGTTTCCTTTTTCCTTACTTTTCACTCTGTCCTGCATCATCCAAGCTTCCCATTGTGCCTAAACAAGTATTACTTTTATAACGATTTTTGTGTTCCAGTCAAATTGTCTTTCTTCCCAAAACTTGATAATATTACTTCAGATTCATGTGTAGCAGTCAGGATGAGCTTTACAGAGAATACAATTCTAAGTTCACTGACTTCAGTGTGGAGAAAAATACACCCAGAGGGAAGGATCAGCACGTAGGAAACCGTGGTCTAGATCACACGTGACCCAGAAGCATGTCCTCTCTCCCAATACATGCAGAGAGTTGAAATAGCAAATGCCGGACTGTCGCTCCATGGAGAGAGCAGAGGGGGATGTACAGGAGGTGAGGAGGAAGCGTGTCAGATCACCCAGGGCCCCAGCCCCTCGAGCAAGTCGAGGAGCAGCACCGCTAACCGCAGCATTCGCTCACAGACCCGGGGCCTGCAGGAGAAGCGAGCGTACTACTTCCTGCCCAGGCTGAATGACAGGTTCCTAACTGGAAAAGCAAAGCCTTGAATCTTGTTCCTGATTTAGTCACCAAGGGATTAACAGCAGAGAGCTTCAACTGCCTGTTATTAACACGGGAAAAGCAACGCTCACCTTACCGTCCTTCACCAAGGTGTTATCAGATGTCATGAGATGCCAAAAAGGTGAGGTCTCAGATTCTGACAGTTGTCACCTTAGTAGCATATAGTTGTTGGATGAATTAAAATTGCTTGCATGAGAATGTTTATAGCCGCACTATCCACAATAGCCAAGCTGTGGAAAGAGCCCAAATGTGCACCGATGGGTGAATGGATAAAGAAGATGTGGTATATACATATATACAATGGAGTATTACTCGGCAATCAAAAAGAACGAAATCTTGCCATTTGCAACTACGTGGATGGAACTGGAGGGTATTATGCTGAGTGAAATTAGCCAATTAGAGAAAGACAAGTATCGTGACTTTGCTCATGTGAGGAATTTACGACACAAACAGATGAACATAAAGGAATGGAAACAAAAATAACATAAAAACAGGGAGGGGGACAAAACAGAAGAGACTCACAAATATGGAGAACAAACTGAGGGTTACTAGACGGGTTATGGGCTCAGTGGGTAAGGGGCATGAAGGAATCTACTCCTGAAATCATTGTTTTACTGTATGCTAATTTGGATGTAGATTTTAAAAAATAAAAAATAAAAAAAAATGCTTGGATGAGGGACATATTGCTTGAACTACTGTATATGTCAGCGAGCCAGGGGGAAAGGAGGGGAAACTGGTCTGGAGAAGACTGAATTTGGTTTGGGGCACTTGGGGGCATGATGTCGTCTGTCCAAATAATTCAGAGACAAAGAAGAGATGAGAGCTGATTCTAAGTGACTACAGGGAGAGAAGAGGGGAAGGAGAGACGACAACATGAAATAATTATTTCAAGACACTGGGGCAGGAAAGACAGGACACAACCAGCAGAAGCGCGTGCGGGTTTGCCTGGTTTGGGACAGGAGGGCTGCCGACAGCTGGGGCAGGGAGACGGGGAAGCGGGAGATGTGGCGGCTGCAGGCGGGCACTGGGAACAGGGGCCTTTGCAGACGAGAGGAGAGGCGGAGCGGATGGAAGAGAGAGCTCAGGGGAAAGACTGCTTGTCCGGCTTCCACCAGAAAGGGAAGGATGAAAAACAAATACGGCCAGAAATCCCGCTCCCCAGAGCAAGCAAGGAAAGGAGTCAGACACAGACTGAGGTTTTAGGCCCCAGCCAGCCAGCCCTTCGACCAACACAGGCAAGAAGCACCACAAGGTGCAAATGCGCTCCTTCCTTGCACGCCTGTGTTTTCTCTGACGCTTCACATACAAACATAAGCAGTGTTACTAGCCAAGTGTGCCGTGCGTATACTTTGAATCACACTCCCCGCCACAGACAGCACTGACAGAAAATGCTAGTGCATATATGCATATTTCATCAAGACGCATATCACCACGCAAAAACCAGAAAAACAGCTGCACAGGTGAGAAATGGAACAAAACGCAAGGTGGTAAGCGGGAGCCTGGCCCGACTCCAGCCCGCAGGCCAACGGACGTGGCTCGATCTGTATCCTGTGGGGCGAGGGATTCAAAGGCACCTACTCCCCTGAAGCATTACTGGGGCTAGGCTGTTTACAAAACCAGGGGCTAGAACAGTGGTCCCCTGTCCTTGAAAGGGGGCTGAAAAAGACACAGCTGCCGCCCTGACCTGCAGTCTGTGTCGACTGGCTCTGCAAAACCCCCAAGGTCCCCACAAGGTGGGAGCCGGGGCTACAGACCCCTGGTTTTAGGCTAAGCCACAGAGGCCCCTGGGGCAGCTGTGAAGATCGAGCAGGAAGAAGCGAGCAGAGAGGGAAGACACACGTCCTCAAGATGAACACACCAAGTAACACTCGCGGGCACACGAGAAGAAGGAGCACGTGGGCCAAGAGGGTCAAAAGATGACGCGCGAAGGCGGAAAACAAGACCACGAGAGTTGAACGGTAATGGACTCTCACTGACTGAGCCGCTGCAGGGTCTAACTCACTGAGAAGCAGACCGCACCGCGCAGGAAGGTACAGGACACAGGACACCGGGACCCGAAGGGCGCACGACCCCGACGCCCCTCGCCCACGAACACACGGTCAGGTTCCACGAGCCGGGTGCTTCCTTGCACTGTTGTTACAGGCGGCCATCCTTGCAGTGATCTGCTTGCAGCTCCTCAAAGGAACTCAGAAAGTCTTGATCGAGAAGGAGCCACGGACACTTCCCACACCACTCAGGGAAACCGGAAGGATTCTGCAGAGCGGCGCCCCATTTTCGGCGGCGGGTTTCCGCCTCCCCCAGGAGTCTGCAGCAGCCCTGGCGAGTGAGCAGGACACGGCCTCTTCACAGCCGGCCGGGCCCGGGGCAGCTTTGCAGCAAGGGTTGCCTGGCGTCCTGGGGGGGCGGGGGGGGGGGGGGGGGAAGCAGTGACACGGCAGGCCAAACCTGCCCCCTGCTGTCCTGAGGCTTAACTTCAGATTGAGGGCGGCAACACCGAAGGCGCGGTCCCCCCTCGTTCACGGTGAAGGAGCTCTTGGCGCGGACGTTGGCAGGAGAGCACTTCCAAAGTAGCCACATCTGGGCCAGCGAGCGGATCCACACTTGTGAAGCTCAGTGCCTGACTGCTACTCGCTTTTACTCAATGGTTAATTCGGCAATATTCACACTTACCAGATAGGTTCCCATTTCTTTCTCCAGGACAACCTGTTCGTACAATGTAGCATCGATGTCCGCTTTCAAAGCCTGCACCTTCCTCTTCACCTGCACGTGGTGCTTCCTTTGGAGCCAGTAAGGAAGAAGAGACTCCATAATTTGGTTAAGGATCTGGGAGGTAATCAGGAGAGTGGCCAGACTCTAAAAAGAAGCAGACAAGTAAGATCTGACAATGGAGCTTAGTAAAATCACAGTATGTGTATAATTATGCAATAAATAAAATGGAATCTTCAACAAATAGCATACCATTAATATCACAACTAATATCAGAAAAGCGAGGTGCTAGAATAATGTTTCCAATTTATTGTTTTTTCCCACAGGAAAAACACATTAAAATACAAAAAGTTATAAGTAAGATTATAATAAGAAATAAATCAGTTATAAATAAGATTATATTAAGAAATGAAATCAGTAATGAGCTGGCAGGGGAACAATTTAATTTGAAATTGTTTTTTTGTCATCTCATCCTTGCTACAACATAATAATCTAAGTGATATTGCCAACTCTGAGAAATAAAAAAGTTTGGCGAAACTTCAAAAAACTTATAAAATGAATATACCCTCCTTCATCGTATAAGCTTAGAAAGTAGTAAAAAAGCCACCCATAATTCCACAACCATGATGGAACCTCTGCTAACATCTTAGGATATTTCTTTCCAATCACGCGTAAAATACAAGCAGCCCACGTACTGCTGTTGACTGTATCGTTCCCAACCTTCACTATTACACATGCTGCTCTTCAGATACCTGTGTACACGAATCTTTGCCCTGTCTCTGGTGGCTTACTGAGGATGGACTGTGGTTCTTGGCAAAGCTGCGCTAGCGGCTTCTAGAAGTGCTGTGTCAATTTCCACTTACCCCAGATGGATAGGAGTGTTTCCATCACATACTACCTTTGCTAGGATTATAAGTGCATTATTCTAAAAGTCCTCCCCCATCTCCTTGTCCTTCATCTCCTGTTTAAAAAAAGAGACTCTTGGGGCACCTGGGTGGCTCAGTCGGTTAAGCATCTGACTCTTGATTTGGGCTCAGGTCATGATCCCAGGGTCATGGATCGAGCCCATGCCTAACTCCATGCCCACTTACAATTCTTTCTCTCCCTCTGCCCCTCTCCCCAACTCGTGCTCTCTCTCTCTCTCTAAAATAAAAAAAAAATTATAAAAGTTAACAACATATCCATTTAAAAATGAAATGGGAAAGACCTATTTAAGGTTGTATCAATCACCTCTCACTCTGACACACACACACACACACACACACACACACACACACACACACACAAACTTCAATTAAGGAATACTTTCCATTAGAATTGCTTTTACAGGCTTTGAGATGAACTATATATGTGTTTTTCCTGTACCGCATGATTAATTTTACAAGTTGGTTAGCTTCAACGAATTTGTTTTCAGTTGAGTACGACATACAGTGCAATTGCTAATGGTTTTTCACTTAGAATTGGCTTAGAAATACACAAAATGTCAGATTTTATCCATAACAATAATATTGTTATCTGAATACAGGAAAGGACCTCTGAAACCTACAAGACTGAGACTTCCTGCTTTTCACACTCACCTGACGCAACAGCTTCATATCCCTCAAGACAAAGGCGATGTAGAAGAGGGAGGCAAAGCAATTCAGAAAGTTGAACTGCCAAGAAAAAGACGGCAACATTTCACACTGCTTTACGGTACTTTATTACGGTTGTAAGTACAGCATTAACAATGTAACGAGGGACTTCCAGCCCTCACCAGATGGCAGACTTGTTTCTCCTGCTCCTCCTCACTAAGCACATCCAGAAACCCTGGAAATACCGCAAGAGGCGAGCAGAGGAGACCTCTGACAGCTGCCAACAGCTTGGACAGCGAACTGGTTTGGGACCCACGGCCCGAGGGAACAGCGGAACAGCGGAGCACCCGCACATTTCTGCTACATTCTAACGGAAGAGGAAGAGCGAGGCCCAGCCTTTCCCAGCCCCCACTGGCAAGCCGGATGGCCTGGGCGGGCTCGCTCCCTGCCCACCTCACCTCTGCCCACCCCCCACCCCCCCGTTCACTTGAGGAGCCCTGCGGACCCGGCAACGGGGTCCACCCGGACTCCTCGCTAACACTGAGTTGCCGAAGGATGTGCTTCCTTCCCGGCAAGGCCTGGCCCACCGGGCCCCACGGAGAGACGCCAGGCCAGCCAGACGGCACCAGCATTCTGCACGTCAAGCATCTCTCAGTGCTAGAATGAGGCCTTCAAAGACTTTTTAGAGATGCATGGCTGCTTGCCCCTTTTCTAAAGTCCAAACTGCTAAAACTGTTCGTTTTGCATTACCTATTTATAAAAAATGCTGTATTTTACTTGCCACACTTGCCTCTATAATCAGACCTACTCCCATAAACCTAAGCACCTTCCTGTCAGGGCTTTGTGATCTCTTGAGGCCTGAACAACCAGATAACAAGCTTCTGACAATGATTTCTTGGCTGGAACAGAAACTCTTTTCTCCGGAACCCTTTCTTGGGAGTAAGATACACGGACTGTGGTCCAGTCGAGAGGTCAGAGGACTCTTTCTACGGCTTTCTCGATCCTCAGTCATGCTACCAATGGCTGCGGTAAGCTCCTGATAAATCAAGTGCTACCAAGCTGGTACTTCTTTTTCATAATAATAGTGGGAAAAGGGCAAAATGTGTGAGCTTTTACACAGACAGCAAGCAGGTTACACTACGCCTTCTCTCCATTTCCTCCCTCCCACCCACCAAAACATGCTGGGAACCTATTAGACTTTAGAAATTTCTTTCAAAAAGTAAAAAAAAAAAAAAAAAAAAGAAAAAAAAGTTAATGGTCCATCACTAAACAGACTGTGGGCAACTGAGAGAATTGTTAAATAGTGAAGCAAAGAAGTCACCAAAAGGAAAAAGAAACATGTCTGTAATGTGCTTAGTTTTTTAAATAACTAGAAATTGGCTACCCTACTAATTTCTATACTTGAAGTCTTACACCACGTGCACATTTGTAGTAAGAGCACTGAACATATATGTAAGCACACGTAATCCTGCCTACCTGTACAAAATATATTAACCATCTGATATCTTAAATTAGAAACCAGTTTTCATATTTACATTTCTAAGTATTAACCAGTATACATAAGCTTCATAATTCAAATGGATTTGTACATAAAAACTCTACTCACCACTAAAACTTTCAGAATTAGATGATTCTGGTAGGCAGATTCCAATCTGTGATTCTCTACAAAAGGAAACAGGAGAGGAAATTTCTCTCAGATAAGAAAGCGGTATGGTGGGCTGTCGTGGGGTAAAGGCAGATGTGCCGAGGCAGAGACATCAGGCAACGGAGCCTCGGCGAGTAAACGTGCCAGACTGTCAATCACAGCTGCCGCTTATCCTCAAGAACATTGCACAGGAAGAAACGAAGATTAGGACACATTTTCCACAGTACTACAAGAGCACTGTGTTCTGAAATTTTTTTTTTTAATGTTTATTTATTTATTTTTGAGAGAGAAACGAGAGAGTGGGGGAGGGGTGGAGAGAGAAAGAATCCCAAGCAGGCTCTACACCACGAGCGCGGAGCCTGACACGGGGCTTGAACCCACAAACTGTAAGATCATGGCCTGAGCCAACATCAAGAGTCGGGTGCTTAACCCACTGAGCCACCCAGGTGCCCCTGGAATTCTTCTTAAAGTATTACTGCAACAAAGAATCATGGGAGGTGTTGGCAAACGATCCCACAGACAGCCACCCAGAAAAAGACCCTGAACAAGTGGCCACAGTGAAACTGACCGCAACCTCTGAAGAGGGTGATAAAGTGTCTGTCCACATGCCTTACAAGGATTCACTTAAAGAGCAACTCAAAATTCCCTCCTGAGCTACGGAAAGGAGACACAGTCCTGGCCCCCAGACAGCAGGGCAAAGACGCTCCTGAAGAGAAGTGTCACCCTGCAGAGAGGCGGTGTGAGGCTCGCCTGTACTGGAACCCCAACTCAGCTATTCAGCCACTGTCTGTCCTTGGCAAGTCACTGAGCCTCCCGATACTCAGCCTCCTCGCTACAAAAACAAGGCGGATACCCGCTTCTCCCAGGGTCACTGTCAGGACAATAAATAATACAAAACCTTAGTCCAGTAACAGCACACGGAAAGGACTCCATGGATAATAGTTGCTAAAAGACTGACAAAAATAATTTAAAACATCTTTATGGTCCATGAAATTAAGGCATAGACTTCTTCATAGGAAATTGCACTGCATATTTACTTGTTTGAGTGAATACCTCCAGAGCAAATGGCCTATCCAGAGCATTTTCAAACCATGCCCACTTCCTTCTACCACAGATACATACAAGGGTACCCGCTACACGCAGGCCAATGGCCACCCTCGGTCCTATGAACGTTGTTCATTTGGCCAAAGTATCTGAAGGTAATTCAATCTACTTTATCCTCAACGGAAAATACCAAATTATGGCATTGGGATCACAGGTTTTGGACACAGAGTCTGGGTTAGCCTGGCTCTACAATGTGTCTGAATCTTGCTAACTCTCTGTGTCTTTATCCCTGAAGATAAACAAACTTCCATTTCATGGCGTCCTGAGGAGGTGAAAATGAGACACCATGGACGAAGAGCCAGCCGGGCACCTGGAGTGCAGTAACTAGCACCAAGTGAGTGCCACGATAACCAGGAGCTGAGAGACACAGAGCCCCCAAAAGTGACGAACCCCTCCCCCAGTCTCGAGAGTGCACCCAGAGCCACACCTCCCTGCTTTGCCAGGTAGCAGTGATAGGAATCCTATGAGCCAAGCAACGTTTCTGATAGGCAAACAAGGCATAAATACAAGCATCAAGTCTTACCCCACGAAGTTAGGAACTCAGCAGCGTATCGATAGAGGCGGTTCATGATCTCAATCACAATGGCATAGATGATGCTGGGCACATACAACAGGACACTGGTCCACTCGGATCCACTATTCTCGTGCAGACTCAAGGCCCAGGCCTCCATGTCAAAGTAAATCATCATGACATACAGAGAGAAATAGAGGCAGAGGCACACAAACGGCAGAGAGACCAGGTAAATGCGCAACTGCCTCTTGTAGCTGGGGTACAGAGGTTCCTTCCTGCCGGTGACGGGATTGATACCCAGGACCCCATGGAATCCTGGCCGGGGCTCCTCAAACTGTCTCTTCATGACAAGTGTCCCCCACCTGTAGGTCATATTGGCACAGCCACGCTTCCACACTTCCAGGATCACTGTGGACCAGATGAGGTTGAAGGAGGCGAAGATCACGTACTTGTCATAGTCTTCCCACACAAATAAGTAGTAAGGTAACCCAATGACCGCCATGGGGATTAAGGCAACAGTGAAATATTCCAAAAATCCAAAGTAAAGAGCAATTGTTTCCCCAAAGTAGCCACGAATATGGTCTACAATAAAAAGGAGAAAAAAAAAAAAACCTTAAGTACAGACTACCAACGACTTTCACCGTTTGTTTTTTTAGGTACGTGGGGATCATTTCATACCCTCGTCTCCCAATCAGTGCGTGATGGTCAACCCGTCTTCCGTGCACCACAAAGACCGCGCTTGTCTGGACGGCAAGCCTGACGCCTTCCCCAGCTCAGAGCCCAGGCCACAGCTGCGATGGCTGCTCTCCAGACACCCTGGGACTGTCTTCCCTTCGCTTCCCCAGCTGATGGATGCCTTCTTCCCAAAGGAAAACCCACCTCGGGGCTTGTCCCAAATCCCCAAGGTCCTAGTTTCAATCCAGCCGTAGCCAATGAACCATTTTCATTTGGGGGTTTAAATTTATGCTCCCCACCTTACTCCCACTTCAATATCACAGGTGTAGATGTTCTTTTCAAAGAAGCCTTCCCATCCACAGTGTCTGCTCCCACTATCCAAAACTGTAAATTTTCATCAATGTATCATGGCAAATTTTTCAGCACACTGCAAAAAAGTTATTCAAAAGCGCAGAACAATATTCTACACATTAACTTCTAGAACAGCCATGGGAACTCACGTATCTATTACCTTCAGATAAGCACTGGGCAAAAGAAGGGACAAGCAACATCACTGTTAATATTCTGTGAACGCCACACAAGCTAACTCAAAAGCGGTCGCAAACACTATCATCCTTTGCCGGCTGTATCTACTCGAGTGAGTGCCGGGCTGGCGAAAGCATCCAGCGCTGGGCCCAGGGTGGGATGCAGGGGCTGGGGTGGTGCAGTAACGGGGCTATTACGTCTTGGTTAATTCCATGCCATTAAAACGTTTTTTGTTTTTTTTTAAGGTAACGTGTCAGATCGGTCTATGGAGGTGGTCGGAGAACACTGGGATAAGCTCTTTTGCCCTAACCTTATTCTCCTAACTAAGGCCGGAACACGTTAAAAGAGTCAGTATGACAGGGCCCCCTCTAATCTGAGTCAGGTTAAAGGATATCCCAACAATGGAGGGGGGAGGGGAAAGGGTGCTCATGGCCCCAGGCGCCAAATCACATGACCTCCCTCCACACGTACCTATGGGCTGATACTTGAGACTAAAGCGAGTGTACCAGGCGTCCTCCAGTTTCTTCAAGGCTTCATTATCATGCAGCGGGAACACCTGAATCACGATGCCAGAGGTGAGCAATCTTCTCACTGTGAAGGCAAATGGTGCCAAGCTACATAAAACGGATCTGAGATTGCTCATGGCATGATATACTTTTTCAAATGCTGTGAAGACAGCCCAGGAAGGACGCAGTGCTATACTACTCTGAAGGCAGATATTCCTTTGTTCTTCACCATGTAAATATCTTGGCTATTTTGACTACGGAAGCAATACAAGTTTATGTAAAATGTAAAACCATACAGAAATGTACAAATTAGAACAGAGAGACACCAGTTATTCTCTTCCTCCCACAAAAAATAACGAGCGTAAATAGCAATTTCGTGCAATATCGGACTTTAAAACATACACCCATAAATGCACATTATAAAAACAAAAGCCGGATCATGCTACAACAGTGTTCTGTAACCTTTTCTCATCCAGCAGTGTATGATAAATGGTTTTCAGTGCCAATACCTGCAAACGTGAAATGTCCTTTTTAACGGTATAATAATATTCCCTTGTATGAAGTGCTATAATTTAATCCTCTGTTGAAAAATACTTGTTTCCCTTCCTTTTCCTTTTGCTATTATAAAAGTTAAAATTGTTATACATGTATCTTTTCCCACCTGCCCACTATTTTCTCATATACATTTAGAAGTAGAACCGTTGGGTCCAAGAGCACACGTATTTTAAATTTAAACATCTACTATAAAACCGCCCCTAGAAAGACTTTACCAATCTGTCCCTCCCACCAAAGTGAAGGTCAGACAATGTTCAGTTCCTTTCATTCTTGTTGATACTGAGTATCTGCAGGATCATTTTCATCCTTTCTAATCTGATAACAAGGGCTTATGTTTACAAACAGCAAATGTCAAAATCAAATAAAATCATACTTCCAGCAGCCAGTCATCTGGTATGATTTTATCCACTCGCACAAATAGTGGAAAGAGGCAAGTGAATTGAACCAAAGACAATATCCCCTGGTGATAATAAACGAAAGCAGGGCATTCTCTCATCCATATACTTAGAGTGATTCACCGGGTGGGTGGGCGTTCAGGTCTTAACAGGAAGTGTGCTCAGCAGGCAGGGGGAACTCTGAGGCAACGCCTTGTGCCATATGTGGGGAGATAGAGTACTTCACTCACAAGCTGCCGGTACAATCTCTAACAAAGAATATAGCTGGTGCTAAGTCGGAGTTTGCATAAAGAGAACATGCTTTGCGGTTTGCATCTACTGATAAGCTTGGAGTTCTCCGAGGTTTACCAGCTCACCTCTCGCAAGGGCTGTCTCCCTTATCTCCCATCTACCTCCTCACCAAAGACAAGTGACAGGCTTATTAGGCTCAACAGGTCCCTCAAAGAGGAGGGCAAAAGAATGTCTGCAGCAGGGGCGGTGGGAACATGTTGTTTCATGTTGAAATACTACATATAACAAAGAGAGAGAGTATTCTCAAGACAGACGTCCTATCATAAAGTCTTCAGAGTAATTTAAAAGTAAAGCTAATTTCTTACAAATGAGCAAAGAGGGGCGCCCGGGTGGCTCAGTCGGTTGAGCGTCCGACTTCAGCCCAGGTCATGATCTCACAGTTCGTGAGTTCGAACCCCACGCCGGGCTCTGTGCTGACAGCTCAGAGCCTGGAGCCTGCTTCAGATTCTGTGTCTCCCTCTCTCCCTGCCCCATCCCCACTCATGCTCTGTCTCTCTCTGTCTTAAAAATAAATAAAACATCAAAAAAAATAAAAAAATAAAAAAAAGAAATGAGCAAAGAATGCTAAATAGGAGAGATGTGATGCCAAAATTGGGAAAAGTCTGGGTCTGGAAGAAAAATTCTTGATAGATGATTGTTACTATTATAACTCAGACATGAGTTATCCAAAAAAGTCTTAAAAAGCTAGGGTTGTGATGAAATCCTTAATGACTAAGAAAGGTATACACTCAAAACATGCACAGACACATTAATAAGGGGGGAAAGGTACATGGTTTAATTTATATTAGCCACAGGTGCCATCAAACCCATTTCTTAATTTTTTTATTCTGAAGTGTTTCAGAGGACTTTTCTTCAGCTCACATGGAAGTCAGTCACCCACAACGGTTCTGATTCTTCTCTCTTATTTGAGGATGCACAGCTGTACCTTATTCTCTCTTCCAGTATCATACTTTCCAATTGCTATATCAAGTTATTCAACTGTGAACTGACAACATCTAAACTATTTTACTATTTCTAAGTTCTTTTTAAAAAACTGACTGCATTCCACTACAGATGACTCTCGAGGCAGGCATAAAAACCAGCTACTTCTAAAAATAGGACCGTGAACTGAAGGACCCAGAGAGAATATAAAGCCTCATGTCCTAAATTACCAGGCTCCTCTTCGCCATCAATGCCAAAAGCATGGTTCCAATTTCAGTTCTAAAAATAGAGGCTTTTCTTTTAATCCTTTAACTTTCTCTTGTCAGCTAAGAATGTAATTAAAATGACCCTTACCTTCAAAGGAAAATATGATGCTGTGCAGGCCTATTTAAAGAAAGAAACTACTGCTTCTGCGAGGATCAAGACGGCAGACCGGAGGATGCTGAGCTCACCTCGTCCAGACACTCCGAGGCTACAACTACATACACAACAACTCTCTGAGAATGGCCGGAAGACTAGCAGAAGAGACCCTCTATAGCCACAGAGGGTCACGTCAAGGAGCATAGGAGGGGCAGAGAAATGGTGTGATCAGGACCCACACCCCCGCATGGCACCCCACAAGCGGGAGGGATATCACACGTAGGGGGGTCCTCCCTGAGGAGTGAGGGGTTCAAGCCCTCCATGGGGCAAACTTGCACTGGGGACCCGCACTGGGAAGATGGGCCCCCCAAATGTCTGGCTTTGAAAATCAGCAGGGTTTAATCCCACGAGAGCCAGAGGGCGATAAGAAACTGAGACTCCGCTCGTAAAAGACCCACGCACCTACTCACTCCAAGACCCAGCGCAGAGGCAACAGTTTGAAAAGCATCTGGGCCATACGTGAAGGAGATTTACTGACTAACTTTAGGGCATGTGCCAGAGGTGCAGGAAACTGCAGGAATTTCCTCCACGAATGGAAGCAGTGGCAGGTGCCTAGTACTGGTGAGAAACAGTTCTTTTATTTTTTTTAAGTTTATTGATTTATTTTTGAGAGAGAGAGAAAGCATAAGCCCAGGAGGGGCAGAGAGAAAGGGAGACAGAAAATCCCAAGCAGGCTCTGCACTGTCAATGCAGAGCCTGATTCGGAGTGTGAACCCACCAACAGTGAGATCGTGACCCGAACCGAAATCGAGAATCAGAGGCTTAACCCACTAAGCCATCCAGGCGCCCCAAGAAACAGTTCCGATCCTCCTCTACCTTGCTAGCACTGTTAGCCCCACCCTCATATTCCCCTGCAGACCTGCCCCACTTAACCCTCCCCTCCCTGGCAGGCAGCCCCCAAAGTGGCTCCCACCTTATCACACTCACCAGGTCACCTCCACCTTCATTGTCATTCCCCTAAAGGGGCTCCCACCCACCATGGGCCCACAACAGTTGCAGCTCAGCCAGAACAGAAGGAAACATACAAAGGACACCACTGGAGCTCCGGATTCTGGTGACCAGCGGGAGAATGCACTTTTGGGCCCCACAGTACACCTTCTACAGAAGGCCTCTCGCTCAAGAACAGACATGGCTGATCTACCTAATACACACAAGCAAACATAGAGAGGCAAGATGGGAAGACCGAGGAATATGACAAAACCTCAGAAAACTCGGTGAAAAAGAGATAAACCATCTACCCAATAAAGAGTTCAAAGTAATGGTCACAAAGATGCTCATTAAACTCAGGTGAAGAATGGATGAACACAGGAAGAACTTCAAAAGATTAAAAAAAAAAAGATAAAAAGGGAACCAGAGACAAAGAATATAATAACTGAGTTGAAAAATACACTAGAGAGAATCAACAGCAGATTAGAAGATGCAGAAAACTGGATCAGTGATCTGGAAAACAGGGTAATGGAAATGACCCTAGCTGAATGGCAAAAAGAAAAAAGAATTTCAAAAACTGAAGACGGTTTAAGAGACCTTCAGGACCTTAAGAGATCAAGGGTAATAACAACTGCATTACAGAGGTCCCAGAAAGAAAAGAGGAAGAGAAAGGGGCAGAAATCTTATCTGAAGTAGTTACAACTGAAAACGTCCCTAACCTCAACAAGAAAATATATCCATGTCCAAAAAGGAAGGAGCCCCAAACAAGATGAACCCAAAGAGGTCCATACCAAGACACAAAATAATTAAAACTCAAAAATTAGAGAGAAAATATGAAAAGCAACAGGAGATAAGCAACTAGTTACGTACATGGGAACACCCGAAATACGATCAGTTGATTTTTCACCAAATTTGGAGGTCAGAAGGGAGTGGCACAACATATTCAAAGCGCTGAAGGGAAAAAACCCACAAAGAGAAACACTCCCCAGCAAGGTTATCATTCAGGACTGAAGTAGATAGAGATAAAGAGTTTCCCAGACAAAAGAGTTCACCACTAAACCAGCTTTACAGGAAATGTTAAAGGGATTTAAGTAGAAAAGGCCCTAACTAGAAGAAAATTTTGAAAGAAAAAAATCTAACTGTAACAGCAAGCATATGCCAGCCGTGGGAGATTAAGTTACAAAGAGAGAGAGTATGACGGTTAAAAGACAAAAGTAGTAAAGTGAATGATACCTATGACAGTTAAGAGATACACAAGATAAAAAGATGCAAAACATGATGTCAAAAACATAAAACAGGGAGAGGGAGAGTAAAAATGTAGTGCTTTTAGAAAGCGTTCAAACTTAAGCAACCATCAACTTAATACAGACTGCTATACACATAGAGTATTATATGTAAACCTCATAGTAATCACAAACAAAAACCTTTAATAGATACACAAAAAATACGGAATTCAAACACAACACTAAAGAAAGTCATCAAATCACAAGGGAAAGGAGGAAAAGAAGGAACACAGAAGAACAAAAAAACAACCAAAAACAATTAACAAAATGGCAATAAGTACAAATCAGTAACT